TGGTTTGCAGTTGATCAAAAAAATTTATTTTTGCAGAAGTTTTGCAGTTGATCAAAAAATTTTATTTTTGCAGGTGGTTTGCAGGAAATTTGCAGTTGATCAAAAAAATTAATTTTTGCAAATGGGTTGCAGTTGATTTGCAGTTGAGAAGTTTTATTTTTGCAGGTGGTTTGCAGAAGGTTTGCAGTTGATCAAAAAAATTTATTTTTGCAGGAGTTTTGCAGTTGATCAAAAAATTTAATTTTTACAGGTGGTTCGCAGTTGATCAAAAATTTATTTTCGTATGTGGTTTGCAGTTGATCAAAAAAATTTATTTTTGCAGGAGTTTTGCAGTTGATCAAAAAATTTAATTTTTACAGGTGGTTCGCAGTTGATCAAAAATTTATTTTCGCATGTGGTTTGCAGTTGATCAAAAAAATTTATTTTTGCAGGAGTTTTGCAGTTGATCAAAAAATTTTATTTTGTATTGTATTGTATTTTACTTTTGCAGGTGGTTTGCAGGAAGTTTGCAGTTGATCAAAAAAATTAATTTTTGCAAATGGGTTGCAGTTGATTTGCAGTTGAGAAGTTTTATTTTTGCAGGTGGTTTGCAGAAGGTTTGCAGTTGATCAAAAAATTTTATTTTTGCAGGTGATTTGCAGGAAATTTGCAGTTGGTCAAAAAAATTTATTTTTGCAAATGGGTTGCAGTTGAGAAGTTTTAATTTTGCAGGTGGTTTGCAGAAGGTATGCAGTTGATCAAAAAATTTATTTTTGCAGGAGTTTTGCAGTTGATCAAAAAAATTTATTTTTGCAGGTGGTTTGCAGGAGGTTTGCAGTTGATCAAAAAAATTAATTATTGCAAATGGGTTGCAGTTGGTTTGCAGTTGGGAAGTTTTATTTTTGCAGGTGGTTTGCAGAAGGTTTGCAGTTGATCAAAAAATTTTATTTTTGCATGTGGTTTGCAGTTGATCAAAAAAATTTATTTTTGCAGGAGGTTTGCAGTTGATCAAAAAATTTTATTTTAAAGGTGGTTTGCAGGAAGTTTGCAGTTGGTCAAAAAAATTTATTTTTGCAAATGGGTTGCAGTTGAGAAGTTTTAATTTTGCAGGTGGTTTGCAGAAGGTTTGCAGTTGATCAAAAAATTTTACTTTTGCATGTAGTTTGCTGTTGATCAAAAAAATTTATTTTTGCAGGAGTTTTGCAGTTGATCAAAAAAATTTATTTTTGCAGGTGGTTTGCAGGAGGTTTGCAGTTGATCAAAAAATTAATTATTGCAAATGGGTTGCAGTTGATTTGCAGTTGAGAAGTTTTATTGTTGCAGGTGGTTTGCAGAAGGTTTGCAGTTGATCAAAAAATTTATTTTTGCAGGAGTTTTGCAGTTGGTCAAAAAAATTTATTTTTGCAAATGGGTTGCTGTTGAGAAGTTTTAATTTTGCAGGTGGTTTGCAGAAGGTTTGCAGTTGATCAAAAAATTTTATTTTTGCATGTGGTTCGCAGTTGATCAAAAAAATTTATTTTCGCAGGAGGTTTGCAGTTGATCAAAAAAATTTAATTTTGCAGGAGGTTTGCAGTTGATCAGAAAATTTTATTTTTGCAGGTGGTTTGCAGGAAGTTTGCAGTTGATCAAAAAATTTTATTTTTGCAGTTGATCAAAAAATTTATTTTGCAGGTGGTTTGCAGGAGGTTTGCAGTTGATCAAAAAAAATTATTTTTGAATGTGGTTTGCAGTTGATCAAAAAATTTTATTTTTTCATGTGGTTTGCAGTTGATCAAAAAAATATTTTTGCAGGAGGTTTGCAGTTGATCAAAAATTTATTTTTGCAGGTGGTTTGCAGGAGTTTTGCAGTTGATCAAAAAAATTTATTTTTGCAGGTGGTTTGCAGGAGGTTTGCAGTTGATCAAAAAAATTAATTTTTGCAAATGGGTTGCAGTTGATTTGCAGTTGAGAAGTTTTATTTTTGCAGGTGGTTTGCAGTTGTTAAAAAAAATTTATTTTTGCATGTGGTTTGCAGTTGATCAAAAAAATTTATTTTTGCAGGAGTTTTGCAGTTGATCAAAAAATTTTATTTTTGCAGGTGGTTTGCAGGAGGTTTGCAGTTGATCAAAAAAATTTGTGCCCCATCTCGTACAGTTTAGCCGCTCTTTCTTTTCCATCGGCTACATTTGGTTTAAAATGATAAAAAATAATATTTTAAATTCTATAACCTTTAGATAAGTTTTTAAACATTTTCTTTAAAATTTTTAAAATGAATGCAAATTTTTTATGTTTTTTTTTTGAAACTATGAGTATAACATATTAATGTACCACATGTTTAAGAGATCTTTAACTATTTAGATTGAAACTATGCACTAATTAATTTGATTAAAAATAAATAATAGAAAAGTATGAGTAAAGTGCACTAAAGTGTGGTAAAACTAAGCTAAGTGTGGTAAAGTGTACTAAAGTATAGTAAAGTGAAGTAAAGTATAGGTTAGTGTAGTTAAGTATAGTAAAGTGTAGTAAAGAAGAGTTAAGTACAGTAAAGTTTAGTAATTGTAGTGATTGCAGACATAGTGCAGAGAGTTCTATGGCCTTGGCAGGAAGTTAATTACTAAATGGTCTAACAACTTCCAATGATCATCGTCCAGGAAATGCTTGTTCGAGATTGATTGTGATACCTAAACGTGACAAAGCCTGACCAGCATTTTATTTGCCCTTTTCAGTACCTAAAGTAATTGAAAAAAAAAAAAATTAGAAATAAATCAAAATAAATGTGGTCACTCTTTCTTTTTTCCGACGGAACTGTTAAAAAAATGTATTAATTTTAATGCAAGTTGAATTAAGACACGAGCACCATTTGTTGAACAATCTTTCCGCTGACACTAGTTTCCAAACAAATTGCATTAAAAACTCTCGTAATCATTCTTTCGCATTGTCATTTTCAGTTTTTGATAGAGCTACTAAGGCGACAGTAATACCTTCTTCTGCCAATGTATTTATACGTTTGACTACAAATTCTGGGCCATCGAGTACCGATTCTTCTAAAACATGACGTTTTGCGAATTTAGCAAGTTCCATAAGTTCAGGAAGCATTTCGTGCTTTTCATAAGGATTGACAAGATTAACAACTCCATAAATCACTAGCTCAATGAATGCTTGAATAGCCAATTTATCATCAATTGATTTCTCTTAAACATCAGCATCAAGTGTAAGGAATGACAATCCTTCAGCTGCAAATTTACGAATATCCTTATCTTTACAAGGTTTAATGAGGAAACGACGACATGCTTCAGCTAGTTTAACAGTTGATCCTTCAGCAAATGGACGGATAGATGCATCAAGGCTGCCGGAGCTACCTAATTTACATAGTCCAACTAGTGCTCTTACTCGAATTCCTTCATCTTTTGAATGAAATAAATAAATTAGAACTTTGTGGACTTTTTCTTTTTCTAATTTACCAGCTGTAATCTAAAAAGCAAATGAAACGAGAGACAAGAATAAGAGAAAGTCATGGAAATTTACTTTCGGTACTTTACCCATAAAAGATTTTCTTTTTTTATTATTCATCAATCATAATTGCAGTCTTGCTTATCTTAAACAAAATTTTCAATTCACATTTTTTTTTTCTTTTGTTTTTACTTAAATGGAAATTTTTTCATCTTTCATAAAACAGATCAGTAATGTAGTAACAATCATTAACTTTACTTTTTTTTTCTTAACAATTAATTCATGTCAGCCGAAAATAGACTATACTATATACTGAAAATTAATAAAATTCGTGCATTTTTGAAATGATCGTACGCAATTTTTCTTTTTGCTCATTAGCTAATTCATTGAATTTTTTTTTTGTCAATCACTAGTTTTTCCTATACTATGTATCTAAATGTTAATGTATTTGATTTTGAATGTTTTTTTTATCATTTTTTTTTTAAAGATGAGTTAATGAACCTATACAAAAATATTTTTCTTTCTATCATGTTTCTCAATCATTCAAGAGAAATTCATCTTTCCTTTCCAGAGTTTGATTGACGAAAAGTACCAAAAAATTGTTGAAAGTTCTAATTAAGTATTTTTTCTTAATTAAGTATTTCGAAAAAAAATGGATAATCATTATCAGTAAAAAAATAAATGCAAGGAGTTTTGAAAATTAATTTGACTTATGCTAAAATTTTGCATAATAGAGCACTTCAAGAGGTTCTTCAACAAATGTTGCAAGATATTGTGAATTTAAAAGGTTTTCAAACACGAGAAATTCATTTTCAAAACTGTACAAATGTTTTAAAGTTTACACTCAAAATAATTCGTAAGGTTTTTAGACACATCCAAAAAATTTAAATGCGTCATTTATTAAGTTATAATATTAGAATAATATGTACGATAGCCGATCTTCTCTTTGTCGTCTCATTAATTTTCAATACAGCCTTGCATCTCTTACTTATTAAACTCAAATAAGTGTTATTAAAAAAAAAGTTTAATAACTACAAATTAAATGTTGAAGAAAAAGTACTACAATTAAGTAATAAGTTCTGCGGAGAGATATACATAAGTGTATGATAAATCCTTACACGATTGCAATAATCATCATTTAATTAATTTTTGTTATTTTCTCTTGTTTCCTATAGAATTACATGTGACAGCAATTGGAACTACCATTTTTAGTGAAAACTTATTTTATGCTGCTGTTTTTTTTTGTGTGTTTAAGATCCATAAATGATTTTTAAGCATTTATACATGTGTATTTATACTAGAAACTTTTTCTATTAAGAGTTATAAATAGCATATACAAAGTTGGTAAATTTGTCGCTATGACACATACTCATGAATAAAATCGATTCTTAAAATGATGAAAAACGATACACAATAAAAATATTTATAAAATGGAAATAAAATAGTTTACAATCTTAAAACAACAGAACATGAAATTATCAGAAACGGATGTTAAAAAGTGACACAATCTTAATATTTTTGTGTGCTAAAGTTAAATTACATCTTAATCACTAAATTGACATAATCGCTGTTTTTTTTTCAATTTATAATGATTACAATATCAAATACATTGAGATATACATAAACATAGCACTGAGGAAGGCAGCAACGGGCACTGTTACTACCCATGCATATACAATCGATCTAAAAAGATGCCAATCAACAGCATTCTCTTTCTTTCCTGTTATCGGATGAGCTTGTGATCTTGAATATCCAACAAATACGACAGATCCGACTTTACAGTGCGTCGTTGATATAGGTAGACCGATTTTGCTAGCCAAAAGTACCGTCATTGCTGCGCCGATTTCAATTGTAAAACCACTGTTGATAATAAATCAAGTATTATTTATTAGTAATCTCATAAAATTTATTGATGATTGATTGCAAGCCTTGTTTTTATGCGTCATTGAGGGAATTATGGAAAGTACGACTCGAAACTAGATCGTACTGATAAGTTATCTTTGTGTATTTTGTGGATTTTCGCAATAACTTCATTGACTTCGTGCTTGTTTTTCGATAAAATTGCGCGATTGCTTAGTAATATTTTCAGCAGTCGCGTTCTACTTCTGACTTTTATTAGATTATATCTAAAGGTCATAAAACTTAAAGAGGTAGGAATGAGATCAATTTTAATAATTTAAGGTAATGAAAAAATCCACAAAAAATTTCAAATTTCAAGTCATGTTAAAAACTTGCTCGAAAGTTCATTACTTGTAATTAGATACTCACGTTGTAGGCGTAATTTTTGTTAAATCCGTTCCGACAGTTTCAATTACTCGACGTCCCCAAAGCCATAAACCAACAGATATTCCGATACCACCGAATAATAAAATACTCATTGGTGTTTGGCTCTTTTGATCAACACTTCCTTCAGAGTAAATCATCCATAGTGCTATTAAAGGTCCGATTGCATTGCTGTGTGGGTGGAAATGATAAACATTATTTTTTATGCACACAAAAGTTTTAAAGCAGCCAAGCATTTTATATGCTAATCCATATTGTTTTTAATATAAAGCCAGTCACTTACCTAACATCATTACCGCCATGAGCAAATGATCCGAATGTTGCAGTCAAAATTTGGAGGAAGGAGAAAAGTTTGCTTACATTTTCATCCTCATTGATTTGAGCTTTTGTCGAATTATTTGCGTGACTGATTAATGGTACTTTACTTGAGTTGGCAGATATATTGGCACTAACACATGTATTATTCATACCATCAAGACTTAATGCACTTTCGACATTGTCAAAGCACTTTGGTTTAACCGTCGTTGTTGAAATCTTGTTGTTTATTGTCGATGCTATAAGATCATTAGTGCCAGTATTCAGAATTATGTTAGGCGGTAGTGTTAAGTCATTTGCAGAATCATTTCTACTCTCGTCGTTGTTTTCCGATTCTGGTGGTGATGGGTTATTTATCATTATTGGTGGTGGAGATAAATGATTGCTTCTGTAACATTAAACATTATTGAAATAATCTTTAAATCCTTTATATCCTAAATTATCATACCTCTTTTCAGAATCTGGAGATTTAACATAGAGATTTTGTAGATTCCTTCCATTAACTGTATTTTGATATTCATCAATATAACTTAAGCTCGTGATTGTTAAGTCAGTGTTATCAAGACTTGTTGTAAGAATCACATTATTAGGTTTTACATTACCAAGTAAATTTTCAGCCTTCTTCATCAATTTTGGATCAAACTTGTGAGATTTTCCATCAAATGCAGGTACTGTAACAGATCCATTCCATTGAGCGACACGATAGTAATCAAATGGTTTTGTATTTCCATTTGGTGTTGTTATAGGTTGACCGTTGAGGGATTGTAATTCAGTCGATTCAGTTATTGCTGGCAATGCATTTGCATCATAAACGAGTGATAATGGACGTTTTGTTCTTTTCGGACTGCTATTGGCTGATGATTCATCAGCTATTTAATGAAAGGTACATTGATTAAATGACAAGTCTATTAATAAAAAAACTACCATCCTTACCATCAGAATCACCAAATATAAATTTAACGGGTTGATTTGCTTCCTCGAGAATTTTCTTCCTTTGTGCCGGGACAACAAACAATTGTACTAAAATGGCAACAACAATAGAAGCTGACAAACTAATAGTAATCGCCAACCATGTAGGAATTCCATCTAAATATAGCACTACACAAAAGAAAATTAAATTAGCATTAATTTGAGTTTCAAGTTTTTGGTTTCAATTTTCATAAGCAAATAAAGTTGACTAGAAAGAATGTCAAAAATCTCAACTTACATTCTGGGCCGTCGTGAATAATGCTGAATAAGTTAACAAACAAAGTCACACCATAGAAAACGGGTAGAGACCATAAGCCAGCTTTTAGTGGATTTCTTGTTTTTAATATAAAACGATTAATCAGCATATAAAGTCCGACACTCATTAATCCACTCATTACTGGTGATATAAACCATGATGCGATAATTGTTCCTGGAAAGTTTTTAATTGCATAGGTAAGTTATAATTCTATTAAATTAATAAATCATGACTATGCTTACCCAATTTTTTGAGATTTAATCCTTCAGTTCCTCGAGCGACTAAACTAAAACCGATAGTTGATCCGACAATACTGTGCGTACCCGAAATGGGGAGTTTAAGGAAAGTAGCAACAAGTAGCCAAACAGCACTGCTGCCTAAAGCTGATAACAATCCAATCATCAATTCCTTTTCTTTAAAGTCTGGTTCATCGTCAGGTCCACTCTTATAAACAGTCACATCTAATATGCCTAATTTGTTCGAACATTTAATAAAGAGAATAAAAGAAATTAAATTTCGTAATTTATCATTAATAAAATAAGTAGTGTCTAATGTCTTTAGCAATAATTTTCCCACCAATCACAGCAAGATCTAAAAGGAGACTGATGAAACTTGAAAATAAAAAGGTGGTAAAATTTATTATAATTTGACGAATTTCATATTCTCTTTTTAATAATATGCGACAGGAATTATGAAATGAGGAATTTCAGAAGCATGTTCCTGCATAGTTGAATCTAAACTCTGTTTTTAAGATTATTTTTGGAAAATTCAAAGTCACCTTTGTTATTATTGATCATAATTTTGAATTAATTACATTAAGATAACATATTTTGGAAGTTTTTAACTTGAAGTTTTAATTATGGAAAATTTGGAAGTGATTCCAATCAATGGATTGGAAAGGTAAGAAAAACGTACAATAATTATTAAAATAATAAGATTTTCAAAAATCTTTAAAAACTGTCGATAAATTTTGTTTTTCAGACGAAATTGATGAAAATATTAACAGCTTACGCTTGCACAGAGATGATGTATGATGCTGAGCATTGTGGAAGATAGCAAATGAGTAGTGAATAGACTCATATTAAGGTAAGTTATACAAACTATCCATCCCGATAAGATTATTGAAGACTACTCATACATCCATCCTTAATTATGGAGTGGATATTCACTGATTATTATATCTTTACACCAACATTTAAATTGAATTTGTATAAATGGTTGTTACGATATTACTTAAAATTCGATTATTAATGGTCGATAGGAAAATTATTTCTGCTGGATCATTAGGACTATAATATGGTAAAATAAATATAAAGGAACTGGCAGTTCTACAAACCTTTTCTTAGGGTCTCGCTAACTTTATATCCTGCATACAGAGTAGACAGCACATAGAAAGAGAGAAGATTAATGTTAACTCTATATTTATATATATATATATATATATATATATATATATATATTTTTAAAAAAATAATAACTTACCGATTAGTATGGCACCAGCAACTTCACAGAAAGTTGCTAGCCAGCATGCCTGTTTTATTGTTAAAACACCAGATCCGACACTCGTTCCAAAGGAGTTTGCGACGTCATTTGCTCCAATGCCAAATGCCAATATGAAGGCAATAATAAATCCTATAATAACAAGCCACAACACTGCTTCTGAATATGGTTCCATTTTTTCTTCTCTTCTAGTTCCTCTCCGTTAGTTTAATTGATTTATTTGTCTTTTTCCTCTTTTTGAAAAGGATAATTTTGTTTTTGTTTTTTTTTTTTTCAATGACGTTTCTTGCTTATGTACTTTTTGATGATTTTCTTCTTTCTGGATGTTTTGATGAAACTTATTTCTTATTCTTTGAAATACTTTATATATCTTTCGTGGGTAGAAGTGATTCTCTTCTTGTTTAATTTATAGATTTCTTTAACTTTCGCGACAATTTTTATAAACAAAATTCTTTCAACTTTTTTTCTGTTCCTTATTACTTTAACTCTACATATGTTATCAAGACTCAGTCAGGGAAAATAATAATGTACGAATGATGTAAAGCTTCTTATTAAGCAGCTTCTCAAATATTTTAATTTCTATGAGAAAATTTTACTATTTGACACAAACAAAAAAAATTGCAAAAAATGTAATGTAGCGGAAGTACTTTAAATGTTCTCTTTTCTCACTGTCTTATCTTCTTCTATGCCTTATTATGAATTGATGTATATTTTTAAAAAAGAAAACCTTAGTATTGAGTTAAGTAACTTAAATAAAATGTAAATAATGAAAAAATGTATCTTAATTAATTTTTAGTGTTACGGTAATCTAATGAAATTAAATTTAAGTCTTATAATCAACGTTTTAACTTAACTATATCGGGAATACAAATTCTTCTCCGATAAACAGACATTGTATGCTATTGTTTGAGAACAAGAGAATTTAGAGGAAAATTTGAGATTAGTTTAACTTATTTTCTTTTTAAGTCTCTTTGCTAAGCACGTAAAACCTTTATGAAAAGGTCAAGATGAATTAAGAGAGAGAAGCGTGAGCTTTCAAACTCAAAAAAATTACTGTCTATAGAGGAACTTGCAAATGTCCTCGAATTCAATCAAAAAATTTGAACTTTTAAATAGATGAGGTAGGAACAAATATACAGGATGACTGTTTAGTTGAGAGTTGCTGACAATTTTATTCCGTTTGGTTGCTAAACGAAATGATGAAATTGATAGATAGATAAATGTTGGTGACTCTTATTTCTTCTCTAGCTTTGCAGGCGAGTGCGTAAAGATGTGTGTGTGTGTGTGTTAAGAATTAAGTTGGCTTTTAACGATTCTACAAATTATAGTGGGTTGTTAAGGATGATGATTTCTTCAATAATATATATTTTTCAATAATATTCTTGATTGAAATATGCGAATGCTGTATGTGTTTTATATCTTTTTTCGTTATTTTTAAATGTGAGTGACAATGAGAATTAAATTCCAAATAGATTATAAACTTTTTGTATTTTGAACGCTCAACAACGTGAAATTAATTCGTCAAAGCTGCAGTATGGTCCGTACCTTTGGTACGAGATAATTCATTAGGATGTCACTTGAAAATAAATTTTTCATTTCTGTAAATAGAGGAAAGAAGAGAAAAATATGTAAATTAAAAATGTCATTGCACTAGGTTGTCTGCTTTTATCTCTTGATTAATACTATGCTTATTAATGGAATTATTACAAAATTGCTTATTTTTTCTGATGCAAGACTCAATAAGAGAGTTTTTTAAGTTTTTCTATATCAATTTCGATTGGAACCCAATTAATCGTACATATTATTCAATTATTTTAAAGGATTTAACTGGATTTAACTTTCAAAGATTTAGCTATTCAGTGAATTTTTAACAGATTTTACATAAAATCAAATTAAAAGCTCTTTATTACCACTCATTTGAAAAATGCAGATAAATATAAACCACAATTTTAAGAGGAAACGTGTTAAAAAAATTATTATTCTTTATTTGAGGACGTTATAGCGAGTAATGAATCAGACAACAATTTACACTCTATTTAAAATGTGTTTTTTTGCTCATCATTTTTACAAAATTCAGGTGATACGATGGCAATTCTCGTGATCAAAAAATTCTCCACTACAACCTATCAATTTATGACTCACATTTTCTATATACACGAGAGACACAATATGTATTTGATTTTTGTTTTTGATAGGCACTGGTGCCTTAAATATTATTTTTATCACTATTTTTTGAACACGTATGTCAATCACAATTAAAAAAGCACACAGTAATGTATTTTAGCGCTATCGTTTTGCTACTCCAGCAAAGAATTTTATGTGATGTCTTGTCAAGAGCTCCGACACGTTTAAGTCTTGTGAACGAAAGAGAAATATTCACGAGAATATAACACGTAAAAAAATGGCAGAAAAAGAAAAGAAAATATTTTGGCAAAATGTCTCATAATTTACTTTTATTTTCGCGGAAAAACCGAGTTCATACACTTGGCGATCTTCGGTTTGGATAATTTTGATTAGTTTTATAAATTTTTAAAAAACTTGAAGTTTTGTATACAAATTGTAATATTTCACTCAAGCAAAATGATTATTCAAATCGTGGACCCCCAAAGGACATGAAAAGAAAAATAGGAAAGAAGAAAATGAAAATGACCAAAGTGAAAAATCATTTCATCATTTCTATAGAAAATATACAGCGAAATTTATTCGAGTGAAAAATGGCATTGAGATGAGCATTCACATCCAATCAAACGTGTTCGAAATGAGATAGAACACGAGTGGTTTGATCGCGTGCGAAACAATTTTTGTGTTCCCGAATAAATTTTGTTTTTCCTCATCATTAATATATGAAAAAGAGGAAGTAGCACATCAGATTAGTCCTAATTAATTTTCAGATATTTTTCTATCCTACATTCTAGATTGGAAGTGCTTTACAACCCCTATCTAAAAATAGTAAATTTATCTCATTTTATATTTTTAATGTAACTTGTCACCTTTCAACAACTTTATCCTCAAATCATGAACCTCAGTCGGTGACTTTATTTTAGAAATTATTTTTAAGTGTCACACTTCAAAAAATAAAGTTGATAGTAATTAAAGATTGATAGCTGATAAGGTACTAACTTCCCACTTCAATTGAATTGCCTCTTTTATAATTCAACTGAATCGTTTTTGAGCATTAACGTAATTTGCTATCAATGCTTCATTAAACTTTTTTTGCTGTGTGCAAATTTTGCAACAACAATCTGCATGCATTGCACTAAAGTATTTGATTTCTATTGAATTAAAAATATTGATCAGTAAAGACGTCAACATCTGTTTGAACTTAGCGACTATGACGTTTTTGTAAAATTTCCATCAAGCCTGTCATGTAATTAGTCTCGTTGATCACATGCAGGTTTAATATTATTTATTTAATGTTGCGATTGGAACAAGTTTAGTATGATAACTCGAAAGTCATTGGTTCAAATACTGACATTCTTAATTTGGGGTTCTAAACTGCAATGAACAATGTTGCAGCAAAGGTTCTTAAACTTTAAAAACCTGATCTGTTATGCCATTTATAAGAAACATTCAAATGATCCCAATTGTGAACTAATCAGAGACAAATCTACATATTTTGTAAAATTGAGCAAGGTCATGAATGCCCGAACTTTTCATATAGTCTGGTCAGTAGAAAGTTCCCAAAAAAATTAATTAACTTTTTGTTGTTTTGCCAATTTGTCAATCGTTAAACTAGTTTGTTCATGTTTTAGTCATAAAGTCAAATTAAAAATGCACACATATTTTGCAGTGTATGTACGTCAATACGTCAGTTATAAGCCATTTCTCTTCTTTGATAAAGTGAGGAATTAATAAAAGTCTTGCTGAATAATGAAGAAAAAGTTAAGGAGAAATGACTTTGAAATTTTCTCGGAATGGCATGGCAAAAAGTGTATATACACACAGATAAATAAACTTTTATGGGAATCCAACATAGCTTTACATGTATACAAAGACCATCATGCCGGCACGTGATTACTGTTTTTCTTCAGCCATGCTTCGTGTTCATTTATCTCTTTCATGCATTTCAATCGATTTTTATTGCATAAATAACAGCAACTTACGAATGATTTTAGCGGTTCTAGGTTCTTTTGTTATTTATTTTATGTCTATTCTTCTTTTTAATACTATTATATTGAATACTGAAAATGGCTGACACACGCAAATCTAGACTTGTCGATCATCAAATTTAGTCAAATTTTTAGATCCAAAAATATTTTTTGTGTATATAAATACATACTGCTTAATGCGTAGATTGATTTACGGATATCGTTCCTTGTCATGAATACGAAGAGTCCTAGCAAAAATTATGATTGACATTGCACTAACCCTGAATTTAATGATCACATAAATAAGTTTCGCGAATTTACGACGAAATTGTAATAAGTTCAATTCTTCTTAATCTTAATCTAAATACGCTCGTTAAAAATCTCAATTTACTGGAAATAAAAACACAAATTGTGTTTATTTAATTTACGCCTCATTCCATCACATATTCTTCTGAATTGATGCTTTAAAGATCATCAAATACAATAAGAGAAATGAGATTTGTTGATTTCGATTTTTTTGGTATGTAGCCTCAAATTTTGCAGGAGAATGTACTCGTTTCTCGAGTGGGCATCACAACCTTTCCGTTTCTTTGCTAAAAATAACCATTGAGCTATAAGGCATTTTGAAAGTCGCTCAAGCAATTCAACGAGTAGGAAAATAATAAGAAAGAAATGAAAGAAAACTTGCTTTGAAATTCTTTTTCTTTTTGCTATAGTCATGTTATATGGTATTATTTACCGGCTAAAGCAGGCTTGATTAATTGCTTAGGTCTACTTTTATATTTAGCTACAATTATGCCGTCAAATTAATCGATCATTATAAGTAATCGATATTCTTAGACATGTCTTTATGGGATTTTTTGAATGGCTTTAAATTATAGATAAAGTAAACAACGTTGTGCTGATTTTAGTTTAATTAAGCTTAATTGTTCAAATTAAAAGCTTTTTATAAAAATAACAATTTTAACTCATGTGATTAAAAATAACAAAAAAATTGTTAACATTTTAAAATGGTAACAGCGAAAACGTGTGAGAATTGAGTCCAAAATCGATGCCTTATTTTCGCACAGTTGACGTCATTTACACTCATTTCCTTTTGGGAGTCATTCGTTTATGATATCCAATGTTTTTTTGAAGTGAGGACGCTTTATGCTTTGTAAAACGTGACAAATATTTTAATAAGATAAACGAAGGGTTTAAAAAAAATTTCAAATCTACGTCATTTATCAACGATCCCTTTAAAGGTCAATATTCTGTGAATGCTAATTTGAATTCA